CGCCACAGCGGTGAGCTACCGACCCTGTCACAATCCCCCTTTGTGTCTGATTTCCAGATCCTTGTACCTCCTACTGTCGAAAAAAGACAGAATAGCACATTCCAGTTCTGACATTTCTAGCTCCTGAACTGGGAGTAGTTGCTAAGGAGCACTTGAATCATACTGCAAGTGCATGGGATACATTCCTTGCTCCCAAACCATGGTGAATGCTGTACAGCTGAGATCTTTGAATATATTGGATATGAGTCTGATCTCACACCAGAGTAAATCAGGAGCAATTCCAATTAAGTCATTGGAGTTGCACTAGTGTTTAATTGGCGAGGGATCAGAATCAGACCCTCAGTTCCAAAAAATCTAATCAAGTTGCAATTTCTTGACTCCCTTTCTCACCCACATCTGTCATTAAACATACAAATTAAACATACAAATCTTGAAAATCATAATCTATCATATAATTTATCCAAAAACAAATGTCAGCTAACCAAGGAGGGCTCTAGTTATTCTAAGCACTTTCCACAACCAGGGTATCCAAAAGCACAAACATTACTGGCAAACCACCCTGCTTACAAATGATGCTTAATTTGCAGTAAATAACCAAGTTAATTAGGAGTAATGATCCCCCAGACAGTCTCCACATCTAATTATTCCTTAAAAAAATATCTGGCTGCTTGATGCACTGCAGAAAAAGATCTAGAGAGGATTTTTTTTTCATTCCAATTTTCAATTTATCTCACTACATTATTAATTAATAATAATTAATATTCAGGCACTCACATTTTTATTTACAATTCAAGGCATGAATTCTTTATGAATTATGATATGAACTTTTAAATTTAATTAAGTAATTTAGAGGTAATTAATGTGTAAATTCCGAATATAAACTTCCTAGTTGTTTATCTTAAAAGTGCAGCTCTTGTCATTAAAAAAGACCTTTTTGAGATGCAAAATTACAGGGCTATAATAGACCATCAACAGGCTGACAGATACAAAGTACATTATCACTTGGTCTTCCCGACAGTTTCCTCATTTTTTTCCATGAAGAATCAACATGCAACATCAGAATGCATCAAAGTTGAACAAAAGCAAACAAAGGATTACCACGTAGCAAACCTTTCAGTGCAGGCAACTTGTATATAATGAAATACAACCCGCCTTGAACTACTACTACTTGTTAATAGACTTGTGCAGGTAGTACCTGTACAGGAGACTAGCAGTGGTTCCAGTATGTATACCAATATTGATACTGCAGGCTTTTATAACTGCAGTTCTAGGCTTCTCCATCACTTAGGAAATGATTCTGTAACCCTTACTCACATTGCGTCCCCAATGGGACCACTCTTATGAGGAAGTGCTTTTCATTGTGAGTAAGGGTTGCAGAATCAAGATGACCTCCCATTCAACCATGCCTGTTCTAACCAGCAAAGAAGCTGTCTGGAACAGCCCAAGCTCAGCAGGCCACAGGGAACACAATCAAATTAGAGACAAGTCAACATTGACTGATACAGGTGAGATCTTAGTCCTATAACTTGGCACAGTTGTCTCTAAATGTTGGGAATCACTCTTTCAGATGAGAATTTGTCAGCTATCAAATTTCCTTCCAACTGTATACAATCGATATTTACCCTGGGAGAAGACGTCTGCACAAGGTTGGTCGGCATTGATCGATTTTAATATTTGCTGATAGATCTGGAAAACTCTGGGAAAGTTTCTATGATATTCCAGCAGGTGCTTTGCTGTTTCCTGTTCAGATATGCCTTCCGCCTCCACCAAACGCTGTTGCACCAGAGGGTCGCTTGGCCAGTCAAAGGTGGTATGGTACACCTCTAGAAGTTAAACAGTAATTAGGACCCAGTAGGAAAAAGAATTTGATAGAACTTGTTCAGCTTGCAAAAAGGTTCCTCACCATAATCAAGGTCTAGATTGTAGCAAGACCTTAGGTTGGGGCATAAGGAGAGGGGAAGCACAGTGATTCCTTCCTAACTACTACCGTATAGCTCCACAAGGAAGACAGATAGTGGCAGAGAGAACTAGCCAGCCATGTGACAGTGGGGGGTAGGTATGTTTGTGTCCCTTAGTCGGGTGCAGCAGTGTGCCTGCTACCACTACACACGGGGATCTCCAGAACAGATCTATGCCTATCTGGTACCATCAATCCTTTAATTAAGAATAAGAATAATACTTTGCACTTCCCTAGCACCTTCCACCTAATGATCTCTAAACACTTTTTAAGCATTAAAATATTGATTCCTATAGCACAGCTGTAAGGTAGGGTATTATCCCTGTTTTCCAAATGGGGAGACGGCACAGAATGGTTGCCCACGGTTACACAAGAAGTCTGTGGCAGAGCTGGGAACAAGACTTAGATTTCCTGGCTCCTACCCTCAACTTTAACCAAGGCCTCTGTAGAAAAGCCAATAAAAGCCATCTCTTTAATTCAGCATGTCCTTCCCAATGCTACTCCTAAAACAATTGACATGGGTTCCTGTGGAATACCCAACGTGTGCCATCTGCAACATTGCCATTTCCTGTTGGCTCTCCTACTTGGCATCACACACAGTGGAGGTTATCCAAAGGTGTTACTGCCTTTTATGGAGAGGCAAACATTCAAAGTCTATCAAAGATGCCATGATAAATAGTAAAATTCTTATGGTATGACTACACACATTAGGGTGACCTGTGTTGTAATAGAGCAGTACTGCTTGCCACAAAAAAATACATTCCCCACTAAATTGGTGCAGAAAACGATACACTTTGAATTTAAAACAAATTAAAATAAATCTGATTCAGAATTACATTGCCTACTCACATCGTAAAGGGACAGCATTACAAATCAACTTTAAAAGCATCAACACTTCAGTGTCTCTTGGGTTGACATAAAAACGTTCTCCTAGAAGGGATCAGTAACAAAAGCATACTACACCTTTCGTGGATGGATCAATCCTTTTCCCAAGGTTCCTCTCAATAAGCACCATGTCTGGAGCATACAGCACAACTAAGCATAGAAGAAACAGAATAGAAATGCATTTTCAGTTAGTTACTGATTTCATTTCTTGGAGATGCTTCCAAGTGCGCTCTGCAAGTAAGGATGGATCGATGCAGTTCATGTACATCTAGCCATCTTCCCCATTTGTAATATTTTTCCTTATTTCCCTGTATTTTACCTATGAACATTTGATTTTGGGGGGAAATTTTGGCCAAAACTATCAGTCAGATGGCACTTTTAGGAAGAAATATATTTTGTGATAAATACATAGCTCAATTTAGTATATTCTGTGATACAATAATCTTGCTTCTTTTATGGTCATTTACTTATTAAATTCAATAATTTAGGCATGTGCATTCAATCTTGCAAGGTTCTTCATCATTTATATTCTAATTAAGGGTGCTGTTTTGTTCTTGGTTATACAGATACAAATTGAGGGAAGAATTTGACCTTCAATATTGTTAGCTACCTTCAGAAATGACCATTTAAAACACATGCACTACATACAAGTACTATCCAATATATATATATATTTCTGAACACTATCACAGTGATTCTGAATTCCTTTACTAACAGCGGAATTGTGTACAAATCAAATCCAAAGTAGCAAATTATCCTGTCCCTGCTGACTACAACTGGGGGTGGTTTATTACTCACACTTGAGCTGTGCAGTTTTTAAATCATTTTCACCTGCCCCACCCCCACCCCAATTTTCATTTTTCTCATGCATTTTGGATAGGTCCCTATCTAATAATGACTTGGAAATGCAGACAGTCCTAAGGTGGGGAGGGCAGGTGCAAGGGTCTTGTCCTTCAAGGCCCTGCCACTATAGAATTATCTTTGCTTTGACTTACACAAGATTCCACCTGCGGCATGAAAGGTCAGGCTTAAGGCCTGGATGTATCCATTTCATTTGTGTGTATTGAGTAAATTGTATTTATTATTTTATCATACAGAGGGAATGCTTGGGGGCTCTTTTAGATCCTTTTTGCTCCCAGGGATCAATTAAAGTAGAATCCTTGAGATTTGGGTCCTGAGGTCAGAGGAGGTTTGGACTCACTGGTGAGGCAGAGAGGCACAGCTGTTTGCAGTCACTTGCTAGAAGAGGCTTGAATTTGCTGGACTAGAGGAAGGTAGTGGGCTCTGAAGTGGTAAGAAGACAAAGGTTCATCTAAGTAAATAGTTCAACAGACTGCCCCAAAGTTTTGGAGGGCCTGGGCCCCATTTAGCCATTTCCTCCAGTCCAGTGACTGTTTCTGATTTGCTCTGATATCTTGGGCATGTTATACGCATTTAAGAAATACTGGTTTTAACATTTCAAGGTGTTTTTGTTTAGGTCACTAATGGCTTTCACCGCTGGCACACAAACAATCTTGTCTTTCTTACCAACATGTCTCGGAGTGATGCCAGCTGACTGCAGCATCCATGCTTGATCCCGGTTTTCAGGAAAACCTTCCAAAATCCAACCCTATTGCACAAAAAACATGAAAGAATTATTGATCTAAACCGAGGGAATCTTAACAATTAAATCCTAGGACTAAAAATCCCATTTGTTGAACACAGACTATCTGATTCTGATCTCATATCAGTGTAAATCAGGAATAAGTCATGCATTTAGACCAGGGCTTCCCAAATATTTCCAGAAAATGTACCCATTTCCCAGACTAAAACATCAGTTAACATTTGAATCTCCTTCTACCTCTTTGAAACACTGAGTTATCTCACCTGCTCATACAAAAACAATTGTAACCTCATTTCATTCTTTCCTAGTGGACAAGTTCAACCTATGAAATTTTTTTTAGAAGAGATTTAGGATCATAATCTTATACTGACCCTAAAACATATTCAGAGTACTCTTCCAAGAAATTGTTTAGTACAATCCATACAAACCTCTGAAATGAATGACTGATGAAGACTCTTCCACACTGAGCTCCTCTATGGAATATCATAATCACATGCAATGAGAGGAGGGTAGTTTAATGTTTTGAAAGCTCGGTAGTTTCAGTACTGGGCACTTTTGAGATTTTTGAGTGTCGAGAAGATTTAATTACAATCTACAGATCATTGGAGACCCAATTCTGTAAGGTGTCAAGAGCACTTGATTCTCATTCCATTCTAGTCAATGGGATTTAAGGACATAGCACACACACACACACCTCCCCCAGGATTGAGTTTTTGGTAATATTGCTAGTTACATCAAGTTTTTACCTCCTGAATATTTATCTGGATAAAGCCTGGATCCTTGGATCTGACGGAGATATGCTCAACACAGGACACGAGAAGGTGGAGAGGCAGCTGGGGGCCAGTTCATCCTCTGCATGTGTCAGAGCAGCCTCAGCGCTGCTCTAGTTTATGGTAAATGCCAGATGGGGATATTTGGAGTATACCATGTTCTTTCCAAGCGCACTGCCCCGGCGTAACCCCTAGTTGGGGGTGAGGTTAGAACAGACTAGTTGTAAACCAGTCTGGAATTCCTCTTTGCTGGGGGAATCTTCAGATGTCATCTTAGGGCAGCTTTATGACCCCTTTATGCCGGTAGAGTTGTACAATGGGCAAAGCATAGCATGGGCAAAGGTCTGGCCCTAAATGCATAGTTCTTATTGACTGGTGGTTCCTCTTTTTCTAGAAAGCTGATCTCTTAACATTTCTATAGGATACATAAAGTTTAGTTGCAGTGAGCTGGAGACTTGCTAAATGCAAATGAATGTATCCAAATTTATTTATATTTTGCCATATTTTAGATTATTTATGTGATTAACTTTTTCCCTAATTTTGGATAATTTAAAAAATTATTACATTTATTGAAGTTTTTGGTACATGAGAAACACTCAGCTTGGACAGTGAAACCAGACAGGTCAGATTATTATCCCCATTTGCCAGACAGGGAAACTGAGGAACAGAGCAGTGAAGTGACTTGCTCAAGTTCAGACTGGGAATCAGAGGAGGTAACAGGAACCAGATCTCTTCACTTCTTGTCCTGTGCTTTAGCTACAATATCATCTCTTCTCCCTTATTTAGGGTAAAACTCACACCCACACCCACCCAAAGCCCAAGAAATCAGATTTGATGTGAACCATTAAACAGGCATTAAGGAGATATACCATTTACACATCCCAAACTGCAGGCAGACCATGGTGTTGCAATGCAGTCCCTCTAAAGTAGTTATTCCAGCTTTCTGCAGAGGGCAGTCCACCCCATCCACAATACAGATGTGATGCCCCTTTGCCTGCACACATAAAATTTTGCCTCAGCATGAGATCTTGTTTGGGTCCTCAGTACCAAAAATGAATTTCATCCAGCAGGAAAAAAACATCTCAATGAACTAGAGCATAAGATGTGTTCTACTGTGGATGTTTGGGAGAAAAGAAACTGACCATTTCCAGTGTTGAATGTGTCTGAAAGCAACATGCACTAATAACATCACCACAATAAAATGGACACTTACATATTCTACTAATGATTTATTTTTAAAGTTTTAATCTAAAAACCCCTCAAAGGATACAAACAAATGTCTTCTTTCTTGAAAAACAAAACAAAAGGCCAAAATACCCCCGAACAGCACAAACCCACCACTATTTCTACAATTTTGAAATATTCAAAAGAATACCAAGCCACACCATGGATTAAAAAAAAGAGAAACTAAACAAATCTAAAGAGCAATGAGCACTGAAGGAAAATATGCACTCTTTCATTATTTTCTTAAATTATACAGGAAAACTCATAGTAATGGAACCCTACTTCCCAGAGCTAATGAAGCAACAGAGCAAAAGAAAGAAAGAAAATCCTTTTGCTCCCTTAAGTCCTTGTTATAGCCAGATAAGTGTTGGACTGAACATCTTAAAAAAAGCAGCATTTACAGATCTATGAAATACCACAGAAGTGCTGCAGCATTACTCAATTTCTATGTGATGCAGTATCTGAAATCTACCTCTCTTATGGCTCCAGAGTCTAAATCTGCTAAACTTTGTCTCAATTTCTCTTTGTTAGTTGTTTAGCTGAACAAGTCCTTGTCACTGGACTCCCAACAACTCTCTGAAGTGCTAAGGAAGCTGAAAGAACATATCTTTGTATGAAAAAAAGACAGTTTAATACTGTATTGCATTAGCTAGCAACCATCATCATCTCCCAGATAAATCTGAGCTCTATCACTATGGGGTACAAAGATTTTAGAATTATTTCAGGGAAACATAACTCAGTGATTTTTGTAGGAGGAAATCAGGGCATTCCAATTACACAAGAAAATAGAGTAGACTACTTAAAATTCCCTAATTAGCCCGATATCACTAACATGCCATCCTGCAGTTATCTGAGGGCAATTAAAAGAAGACTCCAATAACTGCAAGCCATTTTTGCCACTCCCAGTGTTTGCTTTATCAAATTAGGATGAACTACTGAATAAGGTCACACAGGTGCTAAAAAATCAATTTTTCCCTTGAGAGTTACAGAGAAGAGAGAACAGAAATAGGTTCCACCGTGTTTTATCAGTGTGTTAGGAACCTAGGCATTGTATTGGAAATGCGCTCTGCTCAGCCATACATGTGAAACGGAGTCCTGTACCCACTGTGGGCCAGATCCTAGGATGGTGTAAATAAGCATAGCATCTCTGACATCAATACAGCTATGCCAATTCTCACCAGTTGAGGACCTGACCCCCTAGCTCCGTTCCATATTCTTTGGAATCTAAACTAAACAACATATTACAAGATTTCTGGTGCCGGGGCAGTTTAGAAGCATTACAGCTCAAAAGCAAATACTCGGCTATGAACAAGAGATAGAGGATGATCTTTTTAACAAGATGCAACACACTTTATAAGAGTCACATACAATTATACATATGCCAAAGTCCCTTAAAGCAGATAGCATACAATTTAATGGCTAAAAGTTCAAGTAAGAAATCATAGCTCAGGGAATAGCTGCTTATAACAAATATATTTTAAGGCACTAAACAAATACATAATAAATAAACCCTATATAAATAGTTAGCCTTTTGGATCTTATTTCCAAGGTCTCTGAATTCCGAGGTACCAGTAGTCCCTAATTAGAATACATTATCCATCTACTTGACACTTCAGTGAAATGTCTATTCTACCACAGAGTTGCAGCTTTGTTCAGAGCAGGTTTATTGATATTCTGATGCATTCCCTCTCCATACCCCCAGTGGCTTGGTTCTGTTTTATCACACATCAAAAAGGCCGTATGCTCAGGGCACCCCATGCACAGCTCAGAGCTGGAGGTCTGAACAGCTGCAAGTAGTATGGTATCACAGGAGGGACAAGCTCCAAGCAGATGTCACAGATAAAAAAAAAAAAGACAGTAAAAAGGGAGTGTGGCTTGGGAACTAAGCAAGAGGTAGCAACATACAGCAGAGCAAGACCTGACTTAAAATATGCCTATCATGCTTTATGCAAACACTGGTCTTTTCTGCCCTCCTGACTATCATTAAAGCGTAATTAGTAACTTCACTTGATAAGAATATGTTTCTTTATGAAATCATCAATTTTCTCTTCTCGATAACAATAACCTCCAGGCAATCCAAGCATAGACAGCATATCCTCACGTCTAGCCATGAATAAAAGCTAGGTCCTGAGGATTCCATAATGCTTCATTCTGGGGCCATCATCTACTCCCCACAACTGGCCCCTCAAATCCCCTCCAACTTCAAGACAGTGATAAAGGCGGCATTCAGCTCTTGCCTTAAGATCAGGTAAAGTCCTCCTTGGACACCTACCTCACTGTGTAAATCAGCAGCAATGAGGTATTTGTACGGATATCACCTCACTCCTTCAAATTCAAGGAATCTGGAGCGGAAGAAACCCAAGGTCATTTCTCAAACATGGGTGTCCTTTGCTGCAGTGCAGTATTGCTATCAACCTATCAGTGACTGACACCTTCCACCCAAATAATAGTTACACTGATACTCGGCTTTCTTTTGTTACTGTTTGGCCTGAGCATCCTCAAAACTTATTACAGAAATAGAAAGCTATTGACACAGATTGGGTTAGAACAAGGCAAAGAGTGAAGAAATGAAGAAAATCAACACTCAGTCACATTAGACTTGAGAAAGAATTCTCAGCCACAGGCCTACAGCTTTGGCATTCACTTTCACAAAAGATTAGAAAGATCACCAATCTTGCTGCCTTCAGAACAAAATGTATATTCTGCTATGTTCTGCTTATGTCTTCACCACTGTTTTCCCACAACATTCAGATTTTTAAAAAAAATTATATGCCATCCAAAGAAAGGAGAGGTAACCAAACAACAAAAAATTATCAATGATTAAAGTCCACTGTGGACCCAAGTCGTTCTCTAAGACTGTCAGATACCGGGGCAAGGAGTGCAGAATAAATACTGAGATAAGCAGACAGACTTAAAGGTGACATAATAATTCTTACAAGAATTGGAGCATCGAGACTGATGTAGGCTGCATGACCTTTGTCGACTGAAACTCTCCCATGACTGGAGCTACCT